GGTGACTTGGGACACCAAAAGCCAAACCTTTTCCCAAGTGGCGACTCTGAATTAAATAAAATCTCATTTCGAATATTGTCACTTAAATTGGAAAAACTCCACCCACGCATTTAACCCTTCGGGGCGGGCGCGCAAAAGGGGGTGTGACACCGATGATCATCTGTATGGTGTGTGCCGGAGAAGGTGGTTTTGGTGGTCCTTTGGAGTGGTCACACCCTCTTGCGAAATTAACCCTTCCTTTGTCACTGAGCAGTTCTTTCAGGTATCCCTGGTTCAGCATTCTGACCACCTCCTATCGTAGACCTATGTAGTCTTCGGTCTTGTGTCCTTTTTCGTGATGGAATTCGCATAGGACGTTCGACCTCCTTGCACTTGGGTCTGATTTCATTTTTTGTGGCCACTGTACCTTCGTGCCCAGCTTCTCTAGTGCGTACACTTTTTCTGAAGGTGAAACACAAAAGTTATGAGCAGATAATAATAATGGCATACCTCATTCGTTTCGAAGCAGGGCGACGTGTCGTGATACGACATCTGGATGCCTCAGAGGAGGTGGATTGGGAGCTCTAACATAGGGCTAATGCATTTCTCTATTGAAGCGTGGGACCTGTTCCCTTCGCCCGTCGATGCGTCGATCCCTCCTTACCTCGGATTGTATTGACGTTAGTCGTTGGGTTGGACCGTTGAGATCGTCTTCGTATGCTCTTACTTCGGCGCAATAGGCATAATGAATCTCTTCCCATGTTGTGGGGGGATACTTCATGAGTTTGTTGAGCAGCTTTTTGGTTGCTTTTGACCCGTTTCTGTTCAACCCGTTTTGGAAAGATGCGACCGCCATTCCCTCTGATACATTTGGCAGTCCCATTCTTACCTTGTTGAATCGGGCCAGGAAGTCCCTAAGTCCATCACCTGTCGTTTGCCTGATAGAGAAGATATCATTAACCCTGGCTTCGACCTTCTTTGCTCTTGCATGAGCGGTGGCGAATTTGTCTGCCATCTCCTCGAACGTTGATATCGACCAAGCCGGTAGTTGAGAGTACCATGTTAATGCCCCTCCTCTCAAAGTTTCACAGAACATTTTCAGCAGCATTGACGACACTTGTTCTTTTAATAAGTCATTGCCTTTTACGGCGGTGACATGATGGATCAGATGGTCTTCCGGATTCGTGGTCCCGTCGTATATTTTCAAGTAGGGTGGCATTTTAAAGGTTTTTGGGATGGGATGAGGAGCAACTTTTTCACTGTATGGTTGCTCGACAAACCTTCCCACGTCGCATTTTGGCAGTAGCTTAGGAGCGCCGGGTATCTTGTCAACCCTTTCCTGGTGCTCTTTCATGTGGTCACGAAGCACCTTATTCTCGTTCTCCATATCTTCCATCTTCTTAAGGATGGTTGCGAGTGTGTCGTCCCTTGCGTTGACAGCGGTGCAGGTGTTACTCGTTCGTGCAGCGTTTGGCTCATCAGTGGCAGCATCGATTTCTGTCGATGGTGGATCTTCGGTATTTCCCTGAGGGGGTTTCTCGAGCATGTCGCTTAGAGCGCTCGTCAACCATTCCTCTAGCAGCTTTTTGACTGCTGGGGGTGTTTCTTTTGCATCAGACGTAGAGGCTCTCATGCAAGATCGTTAGATCTTCGAGTGAGGAGGGTGAGGTCTCTCCCTTTAGTACATTACTTGGTGTCACATTTGCGGTATTTTCTCTACCGGCTTCGTTGAGGGAGCCTATGAGGTTTGTTGAGACGTCTGCTATCATCTTCAACCTTGCTTCTTTTTCTGCCATTGTTGGCTTCTATGGAGTATGAAGAATAGTGATTGTTGTTTTTGATATCCTAGGTGTGAACTATGATTTCGATTACCGAAATCCTCACAGACGGCGCCAATTGTTGACTCAAAAGTTATTAAACACTTTTTAAGCAAATCAATCAAAAGAGATGAAGGGGTAAATCGTAATCGGAAATAATAAACCCAAGGATGATCTTAATAATCGATTTTGCAACAGTAGTAGCAGATGAGAGAACAAGAGAGAGAAAGTCTTTGAGAGATGAGAGAGCAAGAGAACTTGTATATTAAGAAAGATAGTCAGCGGTCGGTCGTGCTGACTTGGGGGCCTGATCGGTCAAATTCGACCCCATACAAAAGGTACGAAGACTTAAATTCTTTCTACTGGTACCGTTTTATGTGGAAGAAGGTCCTGAGATAACTCAAACTTAGCTACATATAGTAATTGAAATGTAAGCCAGTTAGCTATTTAGCCACCAAGTCTATATACTAGTACTAATAATTAGCAACATCCTCTTTTCCTTTGTAGAATCACGAATTATACTACAGAATTTCTCCAGGCTTCATATATGCTGCAGTACCAACTTTATTTTGCGGGTTGCAACTGACAAATATTAAGAGTTGGTAACTAATTGCAATAACATATCACTAATAATAGCAAATTTCAGTTGAAAATCTTTTTATTGCTACTGTTTGCTGACTTTCTTTATTATCTTTGAATACGAGCTGCTGGACTTTCTTCTCATTTATTAGGGTGCGATAATTATTTATTTATTACTACTAAGTAGCATATTTCAAGACAAACAATATACTCAAACCACTATCGAGATCCACTACTAATAATAGTACAAGATTGAGAGAGACTACATTTGTCCAGTAGACAAGGGCTTCTGATAGCAAAGCCTCTATTATGGTAAAAGCATTCAGTTTTTTTCTCTATATGAGCAGTGTTATGACCCTAAGCTGAGGTAAACTCAACTATGTCACTCAGCCACTTATGGTGTGAAAAAAACGACGGATTGGTGGACGTTGAGGTGCTCAAATGTACAGACCCTGGCATCTGTTATATGTTATAAACTTCCCCTCAAAGCCAACGATTAGATGGGTATATTTTTGTCTATGGTGCAAAAATAATTATGGCTCAAGACCAGAAATCCCACCACTGATCATAATTACAACTATTAGGCTGCTGGTCCAAGAGACCATCATCCTCTAGGGTACCCCAGTTTTCAGGGGAAGTTAAAGAACTATCCCCTGCTTCTACCATTTTCAGTAGATGATCAGATTCTTCATCTAAGCCGAAATAATCAGCCTTTATGCTACTGTCATCATCTGAAATTACACCATTAACTCCACGCTCTGATAAGTCAAAAGACAAGCTTGGCTTCCCTTCCATTTCCTTATTCTTAATAGTATTTTCGTCTCTGTTATAAGACTCCTGATCAAAGCCAATTGAACAGTATTGCTCCCCTTCTCTCTGGGATTTCTGCATCAGATCATTCAGCTTTTGCAACTGCACAGAAAATAATATCATATTAGGGTTGGGGGAGTCTGAGTAATTCGAGCTAGAAAGGAAATTAATTTGTGCAATTAAGGTATCTATAACAGCACCCCTATGTAACAACACAGTAAACGCAATATTTTTCTCGGAACCATTTTTATATTATGTTACAATATATATTTTCTATAACAAGACTTCACTATAACAGCCAAAAAATATCGAAACAAATGAGTCATGTTGTAGAGATGTTTGACTGTACCTGCAAAAGCAAGGATTGGTTTTCTTTCTTTAAGGAGTTGTACTGAGAAGCAAGATTATCAAAATTGGACTTAAGTATATTGTAATCCCTCTCAAGTTGCTTGGATTTCCATCGAGCTCTCTTGTTCTGAAACCAAATTGCAACCTGACGAGGTTGTAATCCCAGTTCTCGTGCTAACTGCAGTTTCTTTCTTGGTTCCAATTTAGTCTCGTTCTCGAACATGGTTTCTAATGATTTTATCTGCTCATCACTGAACCTCCTCGTATTCTTGTTATTAACCTTCTTCTTCTTTGAGGATGGTAAACTGCTGAAGCTGCCACTACTGAAACACTCTGCAGAATTAAGAGCAGCTGCTGAAGAAGTACAAGAAAATTCCCCTACATCAAACATCTTCTCAAGATTCAATCATGTGCCAAAGCTAACACCAAAAAGTGTTTGTGAGATTGCTGAAGTTGGGACTTATATATATGTGGATTGGAATTGGAACGTTCATGTACCTCTGACACAGTTGATAGAACAGTATATTTATGGTGTTAAAGAGTTCTGGTGGGGGAATTATCAACTTGTGCCCCATGATTTTTATATGGACTGAAGAAGGGGTGGGTCCTAGCTATATCGTATATTACTTCCTTTTGGTAAACTTAAGATTGTTGTTTATTGCTTATTCCTTGTTTTTCCACTGTATCTTTTTGTGGTTGATTATGTGATTGGTTTTCTTTTTTCCCCAATAACCAGGGGGCGTCCCAATTAGTTGGCTGGCTTCTAGCTCCGATTGTTAGCAAGGAGCCAACAAGTATACACTACCAATCCTAAAGTATATTCTATGGTTTATCAAGCTTTAGTGGAGTTTAAAGTTGTGGTGTTTACTTGTCATCTTTATAATCATCGCTGTCTTCATTCAACAGTCCCCTTCTAATTATATTATGATATGGGTGTCGGCTACGTGATTCACGTTTTACTCTATGTAATTATCAAGATTCCATATAATTTCATTAAGTGACAACTTTTTTTTCTTCATCTTTTTGTTCTTTGTATTTATTTTTTACATGTCGTTGTTCATCGGCTATATTATAATATATGATAAAATAGATTTCTGTTTAAATAGCTAACATCGTCTACCTTGATATATTAGTATGCTATAGGTCCGGTCGAGAAGGAGATATCTAGCTATATGGGGCAATAATTTTTTTCTCTGTTGGCTGATATATATAACTTAATTTGTTTATATTTTCTTTTAAGATCACTCGCTTTTTGCTTACTGTGTATATATACCACATTACTATATCACGTTGCATAATAACGTTTTCTATTTTCAATCAACCAAAAACTACTTACTGTACCCTAAAATAATTCGAACCATGTTGGTTGTGGTGTATGCCTTATTATCAAGCAGCACCTCATGCTTGCTAGCTAGATCCATTTTCTAGCTGATTTCTTTTTGTTATTCCGAAGGAAGTTCTTCGGAATTACTCATAGTTAATAGTGCTAATATTTATTAATCATTTTATCATAAGGATTTAAGGGTTTATTTTTGTGTCCCTAAGTTCACGTCTCTCGTCTAACATACTGATTACCCCAAGTTGAAAATTCTACAAACAAATGAAAGAACGTTAACGAAATTTTCTCAACATTCTTTTGATGGTTCGGACAATCTCAAAAATTAAGTAAAAGAAATATAAAGCTGTCATGGCAGATATATACTATTTGTTTTACTGAAAAAGTGCTAAACATTTTCTTAAAACGTATTAATGAAAAAATAGAGGGCGAATCCTAGTTAAATATAATAGCCACTAGATCTAACGTTTAGGAATAGTAATGATGTAGGGCAGAATCTGAAAATGTTGTATACCAACTATAAATGCTCAATGATTATTAATGAATGTAGTAATAAAAGCATGCAATAAATATGAAAAATGGCAACAAACGTAATAAGGAGGAATTTATCACCCAAATGTTAGATGACTTGGATGATTATACTTCCTAACAACAAGGTGGAGTAATAGAAAATGAAGATGCACAAGGAATCTTTGGATCTTGTGTACAAAAAGCTTATATCGAACAATGTAGTTAGTTGAAAAGACAAGCTTTTATATATTCTTTGTAGTCAACCCTTTGCAACGTGTTCTTATCAGAAAGGTGAAGACCCCCTTTTTGTTCTTTATTTCTTCCTATTTATAGGAGATATTTCTAAGGAACCCTAAAGGTGCAACAAAAAGAATATCCAATGGAATATTCTTTCTTTTCTATTCTAGACTTATTCTACCATTGCTTCCATACACTCTTTGCTTGACCTCGGCGCTAATCCCTCTCAAGATGACTCCTCGCGCTTGTGTTGTGGTCGGCTTCATTTTCGACCACGTCCATTTGCAGTTATTAAGTTCAGTCCAAATTTTGACTAATACAATACTAGCACTAATTTATTTCACATGTACATGCGAAAAGTATATGTGTTGTTATTTAATTAGAGGTCTGATATTTGAATTTTATCAATGAAGGATTAAAAAAGGAAATAGGATTTGCTAAGCCGGGGAAGAAAGCAAGTCGAGCTGAGCCGCCACAAGCAGCTACGTGCCCCTCTTAAGTTATTCCTTCTAAATCTAAATAAACAATTACAATAGTCCACTTTACTACTCATACTTAATTCTAGGACTAATAGTTTAAGAAAGATAAATACAAATGAAGAAAAGAAATTTCAAAGAATTGAAATTTGAAAGCATTGAACCAATAAAATCAGTTGCCAGAAGACAAAATATGAAACAGGTGTCTCACGTAGACCAACAGAAAGGAGCCACCTGGCCCCAAAAACAAAAACAAATCCCGTTACATCGTTTTATGTGCAATGGGACGTATCATGAAGTGGCAAAAAACTGGTGGTTGTTGCTTTAGAAGGGGGAAAGCGAATTCCAATTTGTAGTGAAAGAGGACACGTGCCAACTGCTGCGGGGACCAACTGCTTTTTTCAAATACAGATGTCCGTCGAAGCTACTGTATTGTGGTCCGGACCCGGGCCAAACGGCTGGGCCAACGGGTCTGGGCTTAGGCGGATCGGGCTTTGGCGGTTCCGGACCAAATGGTCCCGGACTTTACGGTCCCAATATGTAGAACCGATCCACTGTGGTCCTAAGCCCACATGGTCTCGGGCTAAATGGGCCGGGCCCATGGGCCTAAACGGGCCTAACAGACTTTTTTCGTTTCGGGCTATTTTTAATTTTTTTTTATCTAAGGCACTTTTTTTGTAAAATATATATGTATATACTACTATAAATTGCTTATATATAACTATATAAATATGTATAGTATGTATATATAACGGTGTATTATGTGTATATATAATTATATATTGCCTTATGTAATATATATTGCCTTATATAGTTAAATGTCTATTAAAAATAGCAGACTTATCATCAAATCTCTTGATGACTTAGCAAACCTTCTTGATAAGAAACTTTCTGGTTTAAATATTAGACCAATTAATTATCAAAAAACTTTGCTGATAAAATTGAGACTGTTTCTGATTATAAAACTGAAACGTGGTCA